ATTCTCACTATAGACTAATGCCTGGTCTTTCCGTACTTACACTGGCCACGCTCACGCCTGCAACTATGAATTTGGAAAGGGGGGGGGCGGTGTGTTGTTTTGTGCGCACTAAGTTGCCCCGCGGGGCTTTCGCTCACGTGTATGAGCTTTGCGTCACGGGTATAGTACCCGAACTGCATAACTCCATGCTGTAACGCGTTACACCCGAAGCTGCCTGAAACTCACCTTAACCCTGAACTAAAGGCAACAATGCATAAACGAACTTCTCTCTTTTTCCTCTCCTTATTCTCTTCTCTTTCCTCCTCTCTTTTCTTTCTTTTCTCTTCCCTTTTTCTCTCCTTTTTTCTTCGTTCTTCTCTTCTTTTTTTTCTCTTCCTTGTTCTTCTTCTTTGCTCTTCTTCTTCTCTCTCTTTTCTTTTCTTCCTCTCTTTTTCCTCTTCTCTTTTCTTGCCTGTTTTAGCGGTGAGGCGCAGGGAAAGGAGGCAAGCCTGCTGTGCACTGAACCTGCTAGCCGTCTATGACGCACTTAGTGTCCAGTACTGGCTACTGAGCCGAGAGGAGAAGTAGCTTCGATGGGATGTAGCCTGATGCCCTGCCTGCCTGCAAGAGGGGTTGTAGTTGAAGCCAGAAATGGGTGAAGCTTCGCGAGCAATGAGGGCCCGTTCCGCGTGAAGCCGGAAGCGCCGCATTAGAGCGGCCCTGATGCCAGTGATGCTCTCTCTCGACTGAAGGCGTGCGTCAATTGTTTGCCTGAAGTAGCCACTTTCCATTAAGCCGGAGGAACTTCTGTGGAGCCCGATGTCCTTGTCTTTTCCTTCCGCGTCCGGGTTTGCGGGGTGGCCGGCTAGAACTGCTAGCCAACTGGGGAACGCCGCCTGTAGCTTAATCCGCAAGACTGCGGAGCTGATGAATATATACCTGGAGCTGGGACGAAGCCCTGCTGCTGCTTGCGCGTTGACACCTGGAAGACAGCTGATGGAAAAGGGGAGAGCATATATAGAAGGGATTAACAGGTGCGATAATTAGGCTTGTGAATGGAGGGAAGTGATAGGTTAGCTTGAGGAGTGGCGCTCCCCATCATTTAGTGAAGGGAGCGAGTATTGCCATGACGTGCAATACGAAGTGATAGGTCTTCCTGCCTGAACTTGCGCTGAGCTTCATTTGTCTTTTACGTATGTGTCTCTTCAAGAGGCCTCTTGTGAGCCATTGTAATGTAGAGGTAGGGATTTATGTTTTACCGATTAGATCAGCAACAGGGGAAGCAAGAGACTTGACCTTTTACAGTTTGACAAGTATGAACATTGTAAACACAGTGGATTTGCATTCTCATATTTCCACTCTGGGAAAATAACTCTGAGAGGCACACACCCTGGGCATTGATGTGACATGAGATTGCTTTGGATAAGGATGAAAGGATGACAACGCCATAAAAGGTCATCAAAGATAAAATTGTTTGTGTGCGCGGGTGTGTTTTCAATAATCTTTAATGGAACTGTGCTGTGTGCAAATACACTCACTCATCGGCACCATTATCGTGGACACCAAATTATTTTTCTAATTTGTCCATGCTACCTCTTTCCTTTTGAATAGCCTATTCATGATTCAGCAGGTCATTCCCATGGACCTAATCCCCTCATATCTAATTTATATAGTCTCTTTTCCTTTTCAGATGTAGTCATTACACCCAACAGCCTGCCCCTCATTGAGTTGTTCCAACACCAGCTGGGTGCTGTAGTGAAGGGCTTTGAATGCTTAAGCAGAAACAACCTTCCTCTCTACAGGTATAAATATTTCAGGGGCAGATGGGCAGAATAAATTGACAGTAAAATTGACATCAAATTGGGCTTTTAATTTCAAGAGAAAAAGTAGGTATGAGCTGTTGGAGAGGATACTGAAAGGTCAATTTGCTTAGCCTGTGATGTGTCAAAAATACATCCATCGGAGTTATTAAATATATATGTATATGACATCTATGAATTAAGCATACACTATTGTACACTCTCTGTCTTCTAGATGTATAAATATATATATATATATATATATGCATGTGTGTTTGCGTAATGTGAAGTAACAGATTTAAATATTTTGTAATCTGGCTGCAAAGTAACTTAAGGAAGCATTTGAGACACTGAGAACATGAAGGTTAGGAGGTTACCGCATAGTCTGATCACTGCAGCGCCACACTAAGTATTACATTAATTACATTTTGTGAAAGGGAGGGAGATGGCATCGAGTAATCACCCAGTTGGCACCTTCTGTAATCCAACAGAGAGGGGAGGGGGGGAACAGAAACAGTTTGGTGTGTGTGTGTGTGTGTGTGTGTGTGTGTGTGTGTGTGTGTGTGTGTGTGTGTGTGTGTGTGTGTGTGCGTATGTGTGCGTGCGTGCGTGTGTGTGTGTGTGAGTGTGTGTGCATGCGTGCGTATGTGTGTGTGTGAGTGTGTGTGCATGCGTGCGTGTGTGAGCTAGGGCTGCTCAATTAATCGTATTTTAATCGCAATTACGATTTTGGCTTGCAACGATTATGAAAACAACTTAATCTAAATAAAACGATTATTAATTTATTATTATTTGTTTTTCAGTTGAATTATACTTAAAGTTCAGGGTAATCAACTGTTAAAAACATACTTTTCAAAAAAAAATGCAATTAATGGATGTTTTCAAAGTAAATGGATAATCGTTTTTAATAATCGTGATATCAATTATCGACCCAAATGATCGAGATTATGATTTTTGCCATAATCGATTTTTTGATGTCCCAAACACACAAAGTTTGAATGCGAAGATATGAAAAAGGCATCAATACTTCTGGGAGTTAACTTAACGCTTCTCAGATCTGGGGAACACTAAATTGTCTTACTATACAAAATAACCAAAATTGTAAACATGTAAATCCATAATAAAGTAATCACAGCTGATTTCCAGGTTTGTAAAATAACAATTCGATCTTTATGGAATGAATGTATTGATGTGATTTTGTTCTTTCCTTTACACACGGCGCCCTCATGTGGAGGAACTACTGAAACACAATAATCGAAATGTTTGGGCCATAAAATAAAACAATTTGATGTAAAAAAAAAAGGTGTGAATTTGGTGCAAAGACATCAGATTCCCACTGAATGAAGTGGCTGTTCACTGTGACGCGTTCTGGCCTAAAACAAACAAATACTAAAGCAAGAACACACAGAGAACAGAACGTATCCATCTTTTCACCCACAACCAGGCGCCTGAAAACCAAAGAGCGTAACCAAAAAGGGTAAGAATAAAACCATAAATAACAGTGGCAACATTTGATGAAGACTTACCTGTGTTGTAGTTCAGTTTCCAGGTAATCATCTTTTTGAGAAGCGATGAAGACAAGAAGTCGAAAACAGGAGGAAATCTTCTTCAGTAACTTTTCAGTCCTGCAAAAAAAAGCTTTACGCACAATAATAAAGAACAACTCGAAGGTGAATGAATGGCGACCTCCACCAATACTGTTTTCACAAAGAAAAGTAATTCCTGCATCAGCCAGATCAGATTCAAACTGTACGGGTTCTTTATCGACCCATAAACAAACAAACCAACAAAAAATAAAATAAAAACCTAGCAAAATAAACAAACTAACAAAAAAGCTGTAGGACAAATGAAAGATTTCTGATCCATTTTCTAAACACAAATAATAATAATAATAATAATAATACATGGGATTTGTATAGCGCTTTTGCTCAAAGACGCTTAATATAAACAAATAAATGAACCACCACACAGACCAACAAACAAACACAACCTCGTAATAACAACACACGAGTCCTCCTTCAGTTTCATTACCAGAATATTTTATTCTTTTTTCCTATTAAAACACTAGCTGCCATATTTAATAAAACAGCCAAAAACGGCCAAGTGCCTCAGTCCTCGTCCTCCAATCAGATCTCCTCTAGAGCGGGTCACATGGGGTTCAGTGGGCGTGTCCTTGGCTCTTTTTTTGCTGCTGCACTGTGAATGGGAGCAAAAAACCGGTGGTCGCCACTGATTGGCTGTGGTGGATTGTGGGCGGAGTCGAGGCTGGTCCCCTATAAAAACCGTCTCCTGGTGGAAGTATTGCATCGTTTACCAGCAGGGGGAGCACTCCTCGAATCAGACTTCTTAAAAATACTGCCTTATCTGTATGTGTATATATATTTAAATATATATATACACATACATGTACATTGGTGCCTCCTGGAGGGAATTCAAAAGTAAAAAAATGTGGTATTTAACGTAAAGAAAATGGGATTTTTATGTTGGTTTTGAGTGTCGATAACTTTAAAGGCATGTCTACGTGTATACAGATATTACCTGGAAAATGTTGTTTTTATTTTTCTACTTTACTTTTCCTCTAGGATAGTTTTTTCTCCAAAAATGATTATCTATAGATGTTACTGTGTATTTCAATTATTTGATAATCTTCGTATACTTGAAACGTCTGAAAATTATCCTCAAAGCTTCAGTCTTGAAATATCTTACCCAAACAAAAATTTCTATTTTAGTATTTCTTAATACCGCCCAAAACATATAAGCTATCTCAAAATATCTGTATACTTGTAGACGTGGCCTAAAAGTAAAGGTTAGGGAATTTTGTTTATTGTCTTTCTCATGTCTGTATGGTAAAAATAAAGCTACAACCGGCTAACTTAGCTTAGCATAAAGACTCGAAACAGGAGGACAAAGCTAGCTTAGCGCTAACAAAATCCACCTACCAGCAACTATAAGGCTGATTAACTGTATTTGTTTAATTTGTATAAAAAGTAAAAAGTAGTCTTCATGCTAAGCTAATATGTCCTGGTGCTAGATTCATAGTTAGCGTACAGACTGGAGAGTTTAACTATCGACATGAAAGAGAATTTCTCAAAAATGTCAGTAAGTTCTCGTGAAAGGTCACTCCTGCATTCTGATTGGTCCAGACTGTTGCCGGGCAGAAAAAAAGACATATAATGTGGGAGATGGAAAAGGAGTAGAACTTAAATATAAAAATTAGAAACAGGAGGAGAAACAGGGAGCTTTAATAATGAAATTAAAAATGAAATTAAAAGGCGAAAACGGGGAAAGAGCTGCGTCCATGTGAAAGGGATGTGCGAACATTTAAACATTTGTTCTGTTAAATCCAATCAGAGGCATTATGACACATCCCACTTTTTAAAGGATGTTCAAAAAACAAGTGCAAATCATTTTAAATGTCAAACATCCCGCTCAGTGAGTCTCTGTGTTTCTGGCTGCTAAACTTGACCTCATTAATTAAAAAATAAACAAAATAAATCTTTAAAAATTAACACAAATCTTCACATGATATGAACAAACCAAAAAAAGATATTTTTTCTTCTTTTATTATGAAATAGTGCTACAATGTACATTGCATTTCCTCTCCTGACTCTCCGCTGTCTGCTGATGTGTGTGTGTGTGTGATGCTGCTGGAGATATTGTTCCTGCCAAAGATCAGAGAGCTGTGACACAGTGTGTGAAATAATTATCCAGCTGACAGGTGATTTTATTGTTTAAAATTAATTTTTTTTTAAAAGCTTCTCTAGACAAAAATAGTCAATTTTTTAAGAGGAATCACAGGATCAGATGGACAGTTATTTACAGTGTGTGTGTTGTACTGTGCTGGCGTTAAGTCCACATGGAGGGGGGGTTGGGAAATAAAATAAAAAGTAAACAGAGAATGAGGTAAGGAACAAACAAAAGTTAAAATCATAAAGTCTATCAGTGTTTAGAGAGAGCAGGAAGTCGTCTCCTGGCCAGATTCACTGTAAGTGTGTGCAGGTGGAGAAACCTAAAAGGGGCCGGGGCTAGAAGGTGATGATTGACATCCAGGAGGACCAATGGCAGGCAGGCAAGCAGGCAGGAGGAGGAGGTAGAGCCAATCAGAAGGCCTGCTGGGCGGGATTGTAGTTGAACGTGGAGGGAACGTGAGGCCGCTCTTCTAGTTTTTCGTACTCCAGGTGAAACTCCTGAAAACACACGGAGAGGAAGTCAGATTTATGAAACAGAGGAGAAACATTTACTAACTAGGAATAAATGGGAATTTCAGAGAAAATACTTCCAAGATTCAAGTTGTATGTTTTAGAGAAAAAACTATGAGAATAACTTTGATGTGTGAAATGCAAACTCACCAATAACAAAAAGATAATTACTGAGATTTACGGGCTAAATTTAAAAGAAAAAACTCAAGATAAGAAAGTTAATATTCTGAGATTAAAGTGAACAAATAGGAAATTGTTCAATTTAAATCTCCAAGAAATAAAAGCAGAAAATGTACAAGATTAAAGTAACATTAAAAAACACAGATTTTCTCTCACATTAAAGCTGTTCATTAACAATGATAGAAATAAAGATTTACAAGAAGCCTGGATAATCTTCTGACTTTAGAATAGAGAGTACATACGCTTTGACATGATTGTGTGTCAGGAATAAATAAATAACTTTTTAAATGTCTTGTACCTTCGCCACCTTCCTCCAGTTGAGGCAGTCGAAGAAGTAGTAGGTCCCTCTCTCGTAGGCGTTGGTCTTCAGCGTGGGCTCCATCCCCGGAGCCCGAGTGATCCAAACCCGCTCCTCCTTATGGTACCGCCAGTCCCTGTTAAACCTACACACACACACACACACACACACACACACACACACACACACACACACACACACACACATTGAGGGCTCTTGGTCCAGACAGGGACTTTGACAGCTGTGTAATTATCTCATCAACACTTCCCTTCTCTAACAAGCTTCTCCTTCTCTTCTCTCGACCAGAGGAGACGATAAAAGCCTTCACAGAGATGAGAGCAGCTCCACCAAAACACCCCATCCTCCCCTCTCACATTTCAAACACACACACACACACACACACACACACACACACACACACACACACACACACACACACACACACACACACACACACATCTTTTATCCTTTTCTAGTTTTGTTTTGCTCCAAAGTCCTAACGCCAATTCCCAGCAGTCCCATTATGAGAACAAGATAATGTTGCCTATTTTTTTATAATTTCTTTACGTATTTTTCAATAGTCAGAGATTATTTGTTGGAAGCATTTCAAATCTCCGTTCAGAGGCAGGTAAGGGAGGTTTACAATTAAGAGTTACCTGTAAAAAATGCAATCAGTAAACCTTATCCAAGCATCGGAATATAAAAGGAATGCACCCTGATTTATTTCCTCAATATAAAATGCAATGCAAATAAATACAAGTGAAGAGAAAATTGATAGGATGTGTTTTTGTTTTTATGTGAGACCGAACAATGTGACCTTAGAAAATAACTTAAAGTATTATCCTACAGAACAGTACAGCTCACAGAGAAGAGAGAACATTGGATTTACAACAAACACTATCTGTATCTCAGTAGTCTGATTACATATTTGTTATGTAGCTGTGAGGGAATACAGTTCTCTTTTTTTGTACCCTGATTCAATAATCCCGTTCCTCCCTAAACCTGTTCATATTGAGCTCTCATATGTTGAGTTTCCCCATATTCTGAGTTATGTTTGGCGTTCGGTAAACAGTGAAACACTCAGTCGGTAATCCCTTTCATTTCACAGGGAACAACTCTCTGGATGACAAATGTGCTGTGAATAAATCACAACACATGGGAGCAAACTCCAAGCTGTGATCACACCCAATGCACAGAATATCTGCTGCTGTCTCCAGACCGGACATATGTCACCACACGTTATGCCAGCCTCATTTCTCCCCTAGTCACATCTATATTCTGTTAACGGGTATTTTGTTGCAAACTGGTAAATAAAAATCTCTGAATTATACTTTTAAATGATTTAGCATGCATAATAAACCTTTGATGAATGGTCTGCTATAACACGTTATAATATAAGCCGTATGAGACCCATGTTATCTGTTCACGAATGTATCTATCAATTATTATAACTTTTGAAGCATCTGTAAGTCATGTATGATATGGAATGGTTTGCTATAAAAGAACACCGTTTTACACAACTGTGACGTAGAAAATATGTATTTATCATATGAATTCATTTTGTAAGTACTTTTGAAATGGTTTTGCTGCTTTTAAATTATTTAAGGCAGTTTTAATTAAATAAATAATCAGACTCAATTACAGTTAGATAAAGTTCAAACTGTGTGTGTGTGTGTGTGTGTGTGTGTGTGCGTGCGTGCGTGCGTGTGTGTGTGTGTGTGTGTGTGTGTGTGTGCGTGTGTGTGTGTGTGTGTGTGTGTGTGTGGGTGTGGGTGTGTGTGTGTGTGTGTGTATTAATCTCAGTAGGACAGAACTCCCATCAGGTCTGACTTTCTGCATTGTTATAACATCCTGTGGTTCATCACAGCATGGTAAGGGTTAATAAATACCAAATAAACCAACAACTTGACTAACAATGTTGGTTTTAAGCGATATTGTTATTAAAATGATCACTAACACTGACAGAGCCCATAATACTGTGTTGCTGTTGGTGTTTACTTCCTGTCTGTCTTCTTCTATTGATTTCTCTGACGTCCAGCGCTTTGTCGTTTATCCTCTTTCCTTCTCTTGTTCTTTATTTATTTTCTTTACCAGGGACATTCTAGCCATTATGAATCCACCTTTCCTGCTCTCCCCAAATATAAAAATGTGTATTTAAAAAAAGTATTCCATGGTGTTTTCCGACGGAGAAAACTAATGTTTGTTATTTACAGCTGACTTGAAATTGATCGGACTACTTTTTGCGGATTGATATGACTGCACACAGTCCCTTGATCCTGGTTATGGCTAGAAAGGATCCGTCTTGTGTAAAACTCTCGCGAGAGTTCGGCTGAATGTCACGTGGCTGAATGTTTACGTTTGGCCGGCAGCCTTTCAGTTAGGATCGTTAACATCAGTTGGCCACAGCAAATGATGGTGAGAAGCTAAACTATCTATTAATTATGTCAATGACCGGGAGTGTGATTGTTCAAAAGCGGTCTTGCTGGTGTTCAAAGAAGAATGACAACACTGTAGATCACCAACACTATGGTTTATTTTGTATTCACAGGCAAGTCAACGTTGTCGCAGTAAAAGTCCCAAGATAGCTCCTGGTGCAATAAAATGTTCCCTTGCAGTGTTTTACTATTATGTCTGATGTTTCTCTATTAATATTGCTGCTGCATTAATGTGTATGTTGCATCATGTTACTGCTGTAGATGTGTTTCCGAGCCGCTCCGATTACAACGAGAGTTACAACGAGAACGTGACGTCATATTTACACTAGACGGATCCTTTCTAGCCATAACCCTTGATCCTCCTTAGCAACGGTCTGTTCTCCTTAGCAATGGTCTGCTAGCGGAAATGAACAACCTCTGGAATGTCCAAATTGACCAATCAGGATAGAGTATTCAACTAAGCTGTGTAATACCTAGAGTTTACTTCTCTTTACATCAGCAAGAATATGTCAAAGAAAATATTTGATAAACAAAAACAAGATCATTATATGCACTTTGAATTTTAATTTTTGTTTAAATAAACTTGCCTTGCCTATATCAACAGAATGAGGCACTTTACACTAAACAGATTAAATAGGAAGACAAAGGAAATACAGTGCTTATATTAAGATTGTAACCTGTTCCATTTTTCATATATGGTCGTATCACATTGTAAGACGGCAGCTATCCAATTACACAGTCCTGTAGTGAGAGTATTAGGGGAAGCTGGATGGCAATGGTCGGATTGGGAAATAAGGATAATGATAATAATGAAAATGATGAACGATGCGTCCATTAGGCTAACCTTATTAGGGCAGATCCAGATGTCAACGATCCACATTCAACCACGATTCCTTCATTAATGTCATTAAATGAATTCATTTTGCCATCAGGTCATCAAAACCACAGCAGGCGACTGATTGTTTTATGGCACCACAGCGCTTACTGACCTCATATTACCTCATTTAAACACCACTAAGCACCACACACTGCAGCAAACACATTTTACATATATTTTAGAACAAGTAGAATTCATCGACGCAGGAGTAGCTTGCCAACCATAAAGCTTACATGCATTGTTGTGGTATCAATCGAAAGATAAGAAGCTAGGGAATATGAATCTAATGAATAAAGAACTGTTAGCCAAATATAGATTACCATGACAGAGTGCATTACGAAAATAAACGTCTATCCAAGGAGAAAATGCCAAGTTATTGTCACCATTACTGTGTATTGAGCACCATCCAGAAAAATGGAGAATGATCTGCTCTTGTGTTTCCAGTGGTTATATCTTAACTTCATTATTAGAACACTGAGTTTGGGCTACCTACAGTTGGTTCTCATATTCTGACAGATGAAAACCTTGTGTATAAGATGCATATATTCTACCACCTTTCATTACAGCTTTTTGTAACTAATCTACAGACTCCTGGGGCTCTCGGAGCGAGAACAAAATCATTCATGTGGCTACGACATATGGTGGGAGAAAACTTGCTTACAGCTCAGCTTATATTACCCTAAGTGATGGCAACCGCTAAAACCAGAAATGAGAAACCATGAATTCAATGCGATGCTATCCACAGTGGTCAGAAGAATTATAAATATTGATTTCAAAAATAAATGTAATGTTTTGTAACCTGCAGCGCTAACACCAAAAACAAACCTGTATCTAGTTACAGTAACGAAGCAAAATCATGTTATATATTATATTTCAATGATGAAAAAGTCTTAGAATCGTCGCAGTCTGTCAACGAATAATAGCAGATCTCTGGAAGGTCCAAATGGACCAATCGGAAGCCAGTATTCAACTAAGCTGTGTAATAAATAGCTTAAATGAATGCTTCGGTCTCATTTACCTTGTATTGCAGTTGCACACACTTCTATACCCTTCCATACATGTATTTTAACATGCTGAGTTAACCCTAACCCTAAAACTGTGCTTTGGTCAGCGGTGTCTTTCCACCATTGACACTCTTTCTTTCTTTTTGTCGTTGTATCCTCTTGTTGCAGCAGTGGCCTATTTTCCCCACAGTGATCATTAAAACCTCATCTCGTTACCTCCACACCTACACTAACCTTCCTCCCTCCCCCTCTCTCATCTTTCTCCAAACTCTCCCTGAAGTTTCTCTCCCCAGAGGCTCTCCACTCCTCTCTGCGTCTCCAGTGTGGTGTAAGCATTTTGTTCTTGGTGCAGAGAAAGCGGAACAGAGGGACGGAGGGAGAGGAAATTGGAGAGGCTCATCATGACACTGTTATGCAGACGTCCTCTTTTTTAAAAAGCTGAACCCTCCTAAGATATGGTGAGTGCAGGGAATGGGATTTACAGTGGTGATCGTATGGCACCAACTTCGAAACCAGCTAGAAATACACACAAATACGGTATAGCAAGTTTGGTGTTATTACATTTTCATCAACTTCTCAAATCTATATGTATGTATATGATTTATTAGACAGCTGAGTTTCCAGAGGTCTACTATTTTTCGCTAACAGACTGTTGCTAAGGAGAACTGACTGTTGCTAAGGAGAACTGACTGTTGCTAAGGAGAACTGACTGTTGCTAAGGAGGAGGGTGTTCTGTAAAAAGCAGAATTAAAGTGGGCATGGGTTTTTTTTTTCAATCAAAAAAGTTGCAACGGTCAGAACGATTCATTCAAGATCACTTTATTGACAAATATAGAGGCCAAAATAT